TGGCTTCAGCACAAACTACAAAGCCCAGGTGGCTTTGGCTCTTTTCGTCAGCTTGGTCTGCATCTTTCTCCGAAGTTGACTGTGAGGGGCAAGAGAGAGGGGAGCACATTGCTTTGGAGAAGAAAAAACAAAATCTAGATTCTTTCCAATTAAAGCTGCATCCAGAACCACAGTCTTAGCATCCCACAGCATAGATCCATTGCATAGAGCATGCTTTTCTTTTTTTTAGAATGCTGAAATATTTTTTAGAGCTACAGATACAGGATTGTGGGAGTTGTTGGTGTACCGTTTGCATGCATAAGCAATGGCACTTGCGCATTCCACGGAAATTGTAGTCAGAGGTTGCTTGGGTACCTCAGAATTGAGTCTTATCTATGGACATTCTCTATAATCAGGTTGTGGCCCACTATATACTGGCCATCTGAGATGAATCTTCAGTTTAACAACAATCAAATAGGGACACCATCAGTAGAAGTCTACCTTTTCAAGCTCTAAAACTCAGAATTGTGAGGTCTGGTTTTATCCAAGTGAAAGGTGGTGTCCACACTACCCAACCAGACTTCTTCAATACTACTTTAAGCCTCCATCCTATGCAATCCTGAGATTTGTAGTTTGGTGAAGTGTTTAGAACTCTGTGCCAGACAGATGTCATGCCATAGTTCCAGAGATCAAAATAGACTTTCAAAGAACCTCCACAAACTACAAATCACAAGATTAGTTAAAGCAATATCAGAATGCTGTAAACTGTGGAATGTGAGTATTTCCTTGGTTAAATGACACATCCACCATGTTCTCCAGGGCAGGTGACCTAAACAGTTGTATATGAGACTGATCAAACTTGAATTATATTGTTCGTTCCAACAAGAGGAGACCCATTGCATCAATGGGATTTACTTACAGGTTGATGCAGCATTGATGATGAACTGGCTTGCCGGCAGGGGCAGCTAGTGACTCCTAGGTCAGTGGAGAAGTTAAAGCCTATATTTTAAATTTAGGAGGTCTCCAAGGTGCTGAAATCCCCTCTATCCTTACATTCAGGACATTGGACAGTTCCTGTTGCACTATCCAAACTCTGAAAGAGATTTACTGCCTTGCTGCTATGAGAACAACCCACCACGACAGAATAAAAAAAGGCCCAGAGGCCCATTCACACTAGAGAACCATAGTACCATTATTCCACTTTAACTGCATGTTTCCATCCTGGGTAGTCTTGAGGTTTTGAGTTTGGTGAGACTGTGGTCTGTTCTACCTGACACTTCTCAATCCCTCTTCCTAATGCCGTAGGATAGAACCATGGTGATTAAAGTGGAATAATAGCGCTCTGATTCTGTAATGGGAATGGACTCCCAGTCTCATGTGAAGAAACCTTTCATAGAATCAGAGAATCAGAGAGTTGGAGGAGACCCCAAGGACCATCTAGTCCAACCCCACTGTACCATGCTGGAAGACTCAATCCAAGCACTTCCTGTGACAGATGGCTACCCAACCTCTGTTTAAAAACCTCTAAAAGGAGCTCCACCACTCTCCAAGGCAGCCTATTCCACTGCCAAACAGCTCTTACCATCAGGAGGTTCTTCCTAATGTTTAGATGGAATCTCTTTTCCTGTAGCTTGCATCCATTGCTCTGTGTCCTAGTATCAGGATCAGTAGAAAACAAGCTTGCTCCATCCTCACTATGACATCCCTTCAAATATTTAAATATGGCTATCATGTCACCCCCTAACATTTTCTTCTCCAGGCTAAGCATACCCCGCTCCCTAAGTCACTCCTCATACGGATTTAGGGTTTCCAGACCTTTCACCATTTTGGTCACCCTTTTTTGGACATACTCCCTGGCTGGATATTATGACAGTGTAATTCTTTTCCAATCTTCAGGTCAACCTAGAAATATTTTGTTGAGGAGTGATCTAGCTATCCTTCGGCCAAACAAGAATTTTAAGGCTCTCAATCGGCTACATATATATTCTACTTTTAGACTGCATTTCTGTGGCAGTTGGCCAAAAGAGAAAGCTCTCCAAAAGCTACTAAGAACTATGATAAAACAAGAGCTTCAGCAGTAAGAGATAGAAGTTATCCAAGTTGTTTTCTCATATCAGTTATAGGGGAATATTCCTACTGGGTGATGGTTCAGGATTATTGTTCCTTTGTATAAAAAGGGCGAGAGCTCTTACCTTTAAAATTATAGACCAATTAGCCTCCTGGACATAGTGTCGAAAGTACATAATAAGTTTCTGTTGAGTAAGTTCCAAACCTGGGCAGAGGGAAATAAGATCATAACAGAAGAACAAAGTAGGAACGCAATTGATCAAGGTTTTGCACTCACCAAATTATTTCATAAAAGCCTGATGCAGCCAAGAGGATGTTTGTAGATTTTACTTCAATAGACAGAACCAAAATGATGTGCTGTTTTTCAAGGAGAAGTTGTGGTTTTAATAATAATAATAATAATAACAACCACACTGATCATGTCATTTTCAATATATTTATTTTGGTTGGTGAGATTGCCCTGCTTGGATTGTGCTTTGTGCAAAGGATGTATAAAGAAATATAAATAATATATAAATAAAATCGTTATGCACATGGGAATCTGTGTTTTAGTCCTTGTAGTTTATGTTTCTCTGCCATACCTTGCTAGTTTAGGTAAAAGTAAGAGAAGTAATAAACTACCTTGATTTTTGTTATTTCTGTCAAAAGAACTGATTGGCTCAAGTTAGTTCTGATTCCAGGTTAGATGGGCAAACCATCATCAATGGGTCCACTTCTTCCTTGGTACTGCCACAACTATCCCTTACAGTAGTTTGAGACCATTTTAACTGTCCAGATTCCATCCAATGGAATCTTGGGATTTGTAGTCAAGAGGGAGACTTGGGATCTTCTGCTAGAGAGTCCTAACAGGGCTGTTGTTCAGGAGAGTGCACTAGAGCTCTCCCAATAGATAATTCCAAATTGTTCAACAAATTATAGTCCAGTGCTCAGTCCACTACACTGGCTATGGAAATCCACTGGGTGACCTTGAGAAAGTCCCACTCTCTCAGCCTCAGAGGAAAGCAAAATCAAATTTTCTCTGATGAAATATTGCAGAGAAAACTGTATGATAGGATCACCTTTGTTACGATTAGTGGTTTTGATTGGTTTTGATATCAAGACCCCTTTGGGTCCCTATCATAAC